TCAAAAACAGTTAAAGTATGTTACATATTGAATATATGTGCAGATATACAGCGGACAGAGTAAGTGAGCGAAGTTCCTCTATAGCCTGTCGGGAGAAAAGACCTAAATGGTCAAGAACAAACGAGAACGTGCATTGTGGTGACACTTCAAAAGACAAATATGGAATTGGAATCCGCGATAAGCAGGTCCTGGCACGACTAATAGGACAACTGTGTGTGTAGTTGTGGATTTTGAAATCTCGCTACTTCTTTATACAAGATTTATGTAAGCCGAACAATATTGAGATCCTGTTAGAAAACACGATAAAGGCAGTTACAAGGGATTCAGAGTGGTTAAACTGATAGATGTAAATTTGTACTTAACAGTCGGCAACAGAACATCGCAGTGCATCAAGGTTACATAATTGCACTTTCCAAAATGTAGCAAGCAATTCCTGTGGACATAACACAATCACATTAAAGGAAAATTGCAGTGGAGCTTTCAAAACAGGCTTGAATACATGAACACACACTTTGTCGTGATTACCCATGATGGCCCTGACATTGCGTGTGCACATCCACGTGACGGGCATTGCATGCATGCATCCCCATGCGTTGGACATTCCTTACACACTCACAGTACTCGTGGGACCAAGTCAACTCAAACAAAGAGTAAATCGTTAAATCGTTAGACTGTAAAAGCAGCGTTGTTTACGGCCAGACCTCGAAAGCGTTATGCCAAGTTTATCTGACAATAGGCGACTGCGTTCAACTGGAATTCTTGGAACCGGAAATTCCCAAAACGTTGATGCCAGGTGTTTCCGTGTCATCGTGACACGTGGTCACTCTGAGGTCAGTACCAACAGACTGGCAACACAATGGCCGATGTTATTGTGGACGTCCACGAGTAACGTCACGTGGGCAAGATAATCATGTCCGTCTGCGTCACCTGCGACATCGGTTTCAGGCCGCAACTTTAACTGTCCACATCATCCCGGTTTACGTCCGATTAGTGCAACGCCTGTGAGGAATCGATTACGAGAGGATAACATCAACCGAAGGGCCAATTGTGCTACCACGTCATCAACTGAACGTCTTGCATGGTCAAGACAGCAGCTGAGGTTTAATTTACAGGACAGGAGCTAGTCCTATACACAGATGACTCCTGGTTTCCTCCTTAGCCTGTAATAATGGTCGTCGGGTGGAACGTTTCGTTGACATAGTTAAACTTTGTGCACTTGGAACGTGCCGATGTGGGGAAGTCGCATGAGCCCTGCGGGGGGTCATCGATGGCAATTTGACAGGTGCTTGGTACCGTGACTTTACTGTGGACATTGCAAGCCCTCTCGCAAGACATGTGGGCAAAGACAGCAAAACATCCGCACCTCCCATAGCCTATTGCAACACCAGATCTGTTGCCCACTGATTATATGTCGGATGAAAAGCAAAGCAACCGGAGACGCTGGTGCAGCGGCGTAAGGCTTGGTCCAGATATGAAATAATAACCCACAAGACTTCATCAACAATCTTTTGTCATCTAAGAAGCTTTTGTCAATACTAAGGCTGGTCACTCCGGATGCTGTTTTTGGAACTGACCCCTCGCCACTCTCAGTCTAGGATGACGCTACAGAGGACATGCGGTGACAAATACTAGATACCCAACGTTGTGAACACACAATCTTATGCTATAATACAGACAATAATAAGATACGTGTACTATAGACACAAAGAGAAACGTCTTCATGTGGTAGAGAAACACACTTCCAAGTCTCGACTCTCACGATGTGCACAGATGTCTGGAGTTGATGTCGTCTTGTATTTCTTCATCGATAACAAATCGAAATTAACGAAATTTGTGGATAGGAAATTATGGCAAAAAGTATGACCCCCCAAGGGCACATATTTGCCGATCGGTTTACGTATGCATAGACTCGGAATTTCTGCTGGGATGTTAGCAAAATATTGAAAAAACCCGTTTAGGTTCTCTTATATTAACGATCGGATAGTCCATTTCCCTTTACTGAAAATGGTCCACTTTCCCGTTATGTCGAGCAATTTGCCAGAAACTCCATCCTTTGGTGTCAACATTTCACAACTTTGGAGGTATAATCGAGCATACTGATTCTACGTGGATTTCAAACAGCATCATACGGCTCTTGCTTAAAACCTGTTTGATCAGGGTTTGAATAGTCAAGGCCTTTGTGAGGCTTTCAATTGGTTTATGGTACACGGTACACATTATTGATACGTCAGTGACGAAAATGAGTTCATGATGCAGTTCCCTAATTGGCCAGCACCCTATGCTACCATTCATTGGTGGCTGAGGTATCATGTGAGGCAGCATACGCTGACCCTTACGCTTACGTCTTTTGCAATGACATTCTGTACCATAATTAAGAGTTTTATCTGTTTACTCATTTAAACTCCAGGAAGGTGGTAAGGTGAAATGGGGTTTAACGTCGTACTTGAGAATATTTCGCTCATATCACGACGTGTATGCGTGTGTGTGTGTGTGGCTGTTTGTACCTAGCCCAGACGTTTATAGTGAAGCTCACTGAGATGCCGTGCCGCAGTTAAGCATGAATAACCTACTCAGACACGTTATACTAAGAGATAGGGAGAGAGAGAAAGACGGGGGGGGGGGAGAAAGTGAGAGAGCGAGGATAGCTGGTTAGACACGTATTTAGTAGTCAGATTCACATTTAGGTTTTAAAGTTGGAAAGTTGGAAACAAAACAGATGCTCGTGTAATTGAGAAACAGTTATGTTGTACACAGTAAGGACATTTGTATTGTAGGCAGTCACAATGACAAATATTACGTGAGGTACAATAAAGGGAAAATATTAGTATATTTTACATTTACTTTCTGAGATTGGGTCAGCATGAATCCCGTCATGACATCTGTCCAGCTGATCACCACAATCATTTGAGATGCATATGTACAAAGGAGTTACTTCACTGATAAACAAGTCACCATTCATCAACATGATAGTAACTGGTTAAACTGCCACGCACTCACAAGAGTCACCAACACAGAATCCAGCACATAAAGAGACTATTTATGCCAATTTATACCAACCTCGAAACTTCTGAGCCATAAGACCTAACCGTTCAACCTTTCCAACGCTATTTGCGCTTACCGAAACGTCATTATAGAATCCCAAAGGGGTATCTTTACCGTTGGTATGGGACTCACTATCGTGTGGTCAGTTAGAAATGATTTCGGTCGTTAATTATTCAAAGGGCTATTTTAAATCCTTTCCATTACGATTCTTTGTTTGTATGCGTCTCTCCATTAAAAGAATTGGTCAGGTTCCAGCGAAATAATCAATTTTAGTCTACCTTCGGGACATTGTGAGCTTGGCACCCGAGTTGTATTTGGAATCTACGCTAACTTGGCAAATCACTGGAATATTGGTTGGACATGGCGTACAGGCATCTGAGCTTTGTTATGCTAGGAGCCTGCACGACACAATGAGACACTGATGGCTATATATTTGTGAAGAGACGCTAGTTTGGAAACATTATAGCATACTTTTAACAGATCATGGAACAGACACATCGACAAAATGTTTTATTTGGACCGTGATGCGAAATCTTTTTGGAAGCTTGATATGAGATATTTCCCATAACCCTGAAATAATTATTGAAAAAGTATAACAATAAACGTGACACGTTTTAATCCTGGTAAATATATAGAGAATCTCACCCAAGTGTCTTCTGATATCAATTATATCAACACGAGTTGATAAAGTTACAAATATCCGAGGCTTGCCGATAAATTCTATTTATCATCCAAAATCACTCTTCATTAATTTTCAATGAAAAATGTACATCTCTGAACATGGTACTGTCATTAGACTTGCAGTGCAGCGATGTCATAGCATTGTGACGTCATCAATGATGACGTCATACCATTGTCAGGGCATTGTACAAAATCTACTGTGAAAACGATATCTCCTAGGAGATATCGTTGGATCTCACACAAGCGATATCTCCTGTGGAACACAGTTTTGGATGATAAAATGGTATTATGGTTCTTTGATGTAGTTTGGTGTAAAATGTAATCGTCGTACCTTGATAAATTACATGTTTGCCTTCTTTGGCAACCATGGTGAACAGTATTGTGAAAATATTTAAAAGATAATTTTAAAGTATTTCGGCTTTTACACAAATATGAATTTACGATGTATGATCAAATTATCTATACAGTACGGGTTTAAAAAGGGTCAGGTCAGCGAGTGCCATTGTCCACTGAAATCGTGGACGTTTATATAACGTATATATAACTTATATCATAATAAAACAAGAAAGATTATATAGGTCTTCATGCTACTCACGTTTAAAGTTTATACTAGCGCTCGGTGTGAGCGAAGGCACATGGAAAAATGCCTGATTGTGTGCGTGCGTGTATTAGGTATGTATATTACTTTGTGCTTGATGAGATATCGTGAAACGTATCATGCAATGTAACAACGTAACCTGCGATGTATTGTATGTAAGGCGCGGCGGGCTGTCTTATTAATGAGCCCATGGCACCCTGGAACAATGGCTGATGATCGTCTAATCAAACGATGAGTCAACTGTCACGCAGTGTTCGCATGTGAAACCAAAGTATATCTAGTTTTGGTGTGTCTCAATCAACAGTTCATTTATTGATGACTCCATGCAACATGATGCCTAAGGTGCTTCACTTCGCTGTGCCAGGGTTAGTCCTTTGGGAGTACAACAAACCTATGGTTGTGAGTTCACTGTGTTCAATGAATTCTGTATGTTTATGATAGTACAGGTCTCTTCATTCATTCAATTTGTTTATTACAGAAGTGTAGGCCATCGGCTCATAACTGACTGACTGACTGAGTTTTAGTTTTACGCCGCTTTTAGCAATATTCCAGCAATATCACGGCGGGGGGACACCAGAAATGGGCTTAACACATTGTGCCCATGTGGGGAATCGAACCCGGATCCTCGGCGTGACGAGCCAACGCTTTAACCACTAGGCTACCCCACCGCCCCGGCTCATAACTACATAGGTTGCATTGTGCATGGCAAAACATGGTGTGAACAGTGTAAATTGATAATTTTAACATCTTAGATGCATTGCATGATAGTGAGTGAATGAGTTTAGTTTTACGCCGCTTTTAGCAATATTACAGCAATATCACGGCGGGGGGACACCAGAAAAGGGCTTCACACATTTTGCCCATGTTGGGAATCGAACCCAAGTCTTCGGCGTGACGAGCGAACGCTTTTAACCACTAGGCTACCCCGTCGCCCCCCATTGCATGATAGATAAAGCTAGCTACGTTAAATGTATTTATAAGTTTACAATCTGATAATGACACGAAGAGTTTGAATTTGGCTTTACTTGGATTGATACAGCAGGTGTTAGGTAAATGGTTCAAGCGGAGCTCTTTGAATTTGGAACACACGAGAAGAAGATGGTATGATATAGTTAGAAATGATACAGGTCACTTTGACCTTTGGTTACATAAATGGCGTGATACAATTGGAATTTAAACAATGCACCAACATCAACATGTGGAATCGAACCCGGTATTTTTAAGCAATGACATCATTGAGCTTTGACTCTTTCTGCTTCAGTGACCTCTTTGGCCGGATTCAACACAACAGTTTCACTTGATGGTGAATTTGCAATATTGTCCCACATGATACGCTATGTCATTTGGGAAATTACATAAATCTCTCTATCCGAGTATACAGCTCGTAATCTCAACACAATTCGCATGTTACGCGATATCGATAATATGAGAGAGTGTATGGATGTACGCCTCTTTTAGCAATATTTCAGCAACATTCTCTACAGAGGTAAGGTAAGGTGAGGTGAAATGGGGTTTAACGTCACTTAAGGATATTTCGCTCATATGACGTCGTGCATGCATGTGTATGTGTGGCTGCTTGTACAAGCCCAGACTTCAGCTGCTTTTATAGTGCCAGTTCACTGAGATACCATGCCGCATTTAGGCATGAATACCCCACTCAGATACATTATACTGACTCCGATTGACCAGTCTTTGTTATACCCTTTAATGCCAGGCAGGGATCAATAAGTACCATATTTTAGGGGTGACTATGGACAGGGGAACAACTATTGCGATAGCGATATTATATTGCGACCAACTATTGCAATACTATTGCAATAGTTTTTCTTCTCCTTGAATTGTCTCATTTGAAGTCATTTCCCAATGAAAAGTATAGTTTATATGAAATAAAATCAAGTTGAAGTAGTTTCAGTCTCCTTTAATAACAGACAAGAAACTTTAAACCTAGATCAAGTAAACAGTTAAAACTTAAACTATTCAAACTCCGAGTCGCATGCCGTGTTAATCGCCATGTTTGTTTAACAGGTAACAGGGCGGATAACTCTAAATCAAAGTGAACGAATCTGGTACTTCCTGTATTTTGCGCTGCGCATTTATCAACGGAAGTCAATTACTAAACTATCGACAATCACACACACTATCGATGCATCGATAGTTTTCTGTTTCTACCATCGATTAATTGCTATCGGAGAATCAACAATTGCAATCCATCGATAGTTAGATGCATCGTTTCAGCACTACCATATTTTAACGTCTTTTGGTATGACGCGGCCGGGGATCGAACCCGCGACATTCCGCTCTCCGGGCGGACGTTCTAACTACAACACCACTGAGGCGGTCACATCTCTGCAGAGGACATGCACACCAGAAATGGGCTTCACACATACTACCCATGTGGGAATCGAACCCGGATATTCTGGCTAGACAACACCACCTGCTCCAATACTGATATAAACTGATGGAGGTGAGGTGAAATTGGGTTCAACGTCGTGCTTGAGAATATTTCGCTCATATGATAACGTGCATGCGTGTGTATGTGTGTGTGCGGCTGCTTGTACTAGCCCAGACTGAAGCTGGTTTTATAGTGCTAGCCCACTGAGATACCATGCCGCAGTGAAACATGAATATCCCACTCAGACACGTTATACTGACTCCAAGCCGACCAGTCCTTGTTGTACCCATTAATGCTGAGCGCCAGGCAGGGACCAACAAGTACCATATTTTAACGTCTTTTGGTATGACGCGGTCGGGGTTCGAACCCGCGACCTTCCGCTCTCCGGGCGGACGCTCTAACCACTACACCACGGAGGCGGTCTATAAACTGATGGAACCATAACCAAGGCTTGAACATCACATTGCCTCAGTGTTATCAGCGTGAATCCATACCGCTGTAAGTACATGAAGACCTTGGTCACCACTGAACGAAACAGAAAGGTCTTCCGTCAACATGATGGCCACTTCGGAACAAAGTCGAAAGATTCAGTTTCTTCTTCTGAGACTTAATCGATCAAAAAGCAATTATTATTTTTAACCCACCGCAAACTGTGCCGGCTTTCATTTGTATTCAATCCCGTATGTTTGGTCAGAAGAAAAGAAAATTGAATAGCTTTAGGCAATGAACTAACACGGCGGGATGAAAAATTCGATTATAAACAAAGTTCACATTCAGGTATTTATCAAAAAATACAAACATTTCGGGGTTTTCGTAGTGGCCATACTGGTGGAATTCCTTTTTTTCAATTTTTTTTAGATGTGTTGATCATTTTTTGTTCAGTCACATGTCGTAGAATGTGCAGCGAATGTTCACGAATCACGTTTATATATTTATAAAAAGTGAGTGTTTACAATCAAACTGCCGTAACTGTATCTTCAGACTATGCACAGTTCAAAACCAGCTAAGCCGAATACATGATGCATTTGTCAGGAAAATGCCAAACATTTTGAACAAATGGATGAAGAAGACCCGCTAATGGGCGCTGGTAATTACAGTTAAACATTCTATAAGCTGCCCATGGACACACGTGTACCCTTCCTCCTTGGAAACGTTAACCTTCTTCAGGCTGTTGACATGCACAGCTTTCTGAACTCTGCAATTACGTATTAAAGTTATGTAAATTAGTCTATTCGTTCACAATAGAAATAAAACACTGACTAATTTACATGACACAACAGAACCCGTTCTGTCTCAATGGACTAAGAGGTGTTATTGAGTACGGGATAGGGTTTTGTAGAAACGAGGATTACATTATAATCATGTAGAACATATTAATCCAACTAAATATGTCCACCTAGCTATAACACTCCCCACACATACACACACAGACGCACGCACGCACGCATAGACACACTCACTCACAGAGGGAGAGAGCAAGAGAGAGACAGGCATAATGGTATAGAATATTAAGGCAGTCCAAATGACTCTCAAGTGAATGCTGCTGATAATATACTGAACCAAACAAGTTTAGCACGTTATCTTTTCGTAAATTTTTAATGAAGATTTGTTTGTGCTAAAAGTCCAGGTTGACGTCAAACAATTAATGTCAATGGTTGGGCGATAGTTGAAGCGTGTTGACAACCGGATGTTGCACATGCAAATCACGTTGTCGTGAATTCACGACAATTGCGTGTGTCCTGTGGAGCTTAAAAGGGGGGATGTCGCACACTGACATCACTGTTGCAAGAACCGAACAGTGAAAAACCCAGCTGACATCGGGGCGTCGGCCAGGATTGAATGAAAATTAATGCCCTGAAGCCATGGGGCGATTACATGCTGGACAGGGTGCGAGGGACGTCGCCTACCAGGTCCATGAAAGTACAATTAGGCGTCTTCGACAACGGGTGCAACAGACTGGTGAATTTGGGGATCGCACCCTGGTCAGGAAGACCTCGTGCAACCATCCCACGTGAGGATCGTCATCTGGTGACGTCATCGAGGTGTCACAGGACGATGAGTGCAGCACCTCCAGCCAACGAGCTACGACAAGCAACGGGCACACGCATTCATACCTAGACAGTCCGAAATCGCCTTCATGCCGCAGGTTTACATGCGCAACGACCGCCGCCGTTGCCACGAAGTCATTTAACAAAAGGCTGAGAAAATGCGCAAATTCATCAGCGTTGGCGACGACATCAGTGGAACCAGGCATTATTCACTACAGAATCTCGTTCTGTATGGAGTTTGCGAATGGCGACAAAGGGGTGAACGGTTCGACGCCGTCAACGTCATTCAACGTAAACGCTACGTTGGAGAAAGCATAATGGTGTGGGCTGCGATACACTGGAACGGGAAGACGGACTTGGTGGTAGTCCACGGAACTCTCAACGCTCAGCGTTACTGCGGCCAAACCATCACTCCAGTCGGCATTCCATTCATGCAGCATCGTCCACAGTTCCTGTTCCAACAGGAAAACGCAGGAGCCCATACAGCGAGGGTAACCATGCAGCTGTTGCAGGTATCCAACATCAGGGTACTACCCTGGCCTGCAAGGTCACCAGACCTGTCTCCGATCGAGCATGTGGGGAACATCCATGGAAGAAGGGTACGTGGACACCACTACCCCAACATGCTGAACATTCTCGACCTTGAGCATGCCCTGATGCAGGAGGGGAACATTATCACCATCGCGCAACAGAAACGCTACCACATTTAGCTATTAAAACAACAAGGAGAGTCTTAACGACCAAAGGCCAATTATAAACTCAATAAATCAGAAGAAATTATCTTGATTTATTTCCAGGGTTGCAATTAAAGATTCGACATGTATTAATGAATCTTCATAGCGCTCACTTTAAAAAAATGTAAACACTATCATATTGTATATTGATTTCCGATTACTTTGAAATTGGACGTTCTTTTGTATTATCAATAAATAAGACTCCGATTTTACTTTAATGGAAATTCAGAATATAATGTTAGTTTATTAAAATGAATATTAAGTAGGTAACACCACAGGACATGATACGTTTGTGATTCATTTGCACATGTTCATTATATAGTTGGAATCGTAAAATCTAGATTTTTCAGCAGAGATTTCTTTGGATATACTTTTGTCGCTCTTAATCAAAGTGGGAAAATGAAAGGATTACACATTCATATTAGGGTATTTATTCACATGCATGGAAAGACTACCTCTGTTCACATGGTTCATGTAGTCATTACACAGCAAGCATCTCCTTGGCACTGTCTGTAAATGTCTACATAATTGATACGTGTCATCCCCACCGCCATACATAATGCATACCATGTGGTGACTTTGTATCAATAGCAGTCCAGATAAGTCAATAACCCGACAGCCAGTAAGCGTCACATCACAGCGCCTATTCACAATTACCAATGTCCGTAATGTAACCAAGCATATGGTGTTCTCTAGGATACATGGACTTTGTTTCTGGTTGATAGATCGTCGGTCACGATTGTATTGGTCATATGATGGCCAATACCGATATAATTCTCACATGGATGAATATCTCAGAATTGTTGCAGTTCCAATTGATTTCCCTTATCGGTTGTGTTGGTATGGTAGCGTAGTGGTTAGAGCGTTCGCTTGTCACGCCGAAGTCCTGGGTTCGGATAAAATGCATGGAGCTCGTCTCTAGTGTCCCCAAGTGTTATTGTCAGGTGGTTTAGAAAAGCGACGGATAACTATTCACTCCCTATATCTTCCTTTCAGACATGATGACGTTTTATTCCAATCGATATAATTAACTTAACATTATTTTAAGGAATGGAAAAATGTGTGAAACAAAACTCAAGTGACAAACTATGTGAATGTACTTAGAGTAGATGACCTGTTGCAAGTCCATTCACTCAAACGAATAATTTACTTGTTTATTGCTGATCCATAGCTACCTTCCGACTGACCATAATATTTAAATCATATTTAAATATGTTGACATGAGGCATTAGTTGTGGTGTGAATTAAGGCAAAATGTATGCATTTGCAAGAAATAATATAAAATGTTCTGTTATTGTTTTGGGGATACACGGGCGTCTATTAATATCAACTATTCTATCATCTCCTGCTGCAGTTGGTTATCTGATTCTGATCTCCCTGTGATAGAGACGGTAATAGCTATTTTCAATTATGACGTTACATTTCATATGCTTGGAAGCATCCAGAACTGTTGGTTTCCTCGTTCTATCAACACTGCTTTGAATGCATTTGCATGTAAATGAGTAATTACTGTGGACAAAAGGTGTGGACAAAGGAAAGCCAGGTGTCAGTTATCCAGCTCGTGTCGCCGTGTCCTTGATGATTATAACTCTTAACAGATGCATTTACGTACGATATTTCATAATTTGAAATATTTCATAATATAAAATAAATCTTATAAATGAAGGTATGAACGTTGGTAAAATGATATGTTAGTTTCTTCTCATAGTGTATTTTAACATACAGGCTTTGGTCCACTTGGACAAAGATACCTTAGTGCCACAACTACATAAGGTCTATTGAAGTCACATCGCTGTTTACCAGTCAACAAAAACATGATCAAATATGCACGTCTAGACGACAGATGGAACGAACACTGACCCTGCACAGCTATTGTTAATTGAGATATTGGAGTGACAAACATGTCCCTTATGCATATTTAATTCATATTTATGTTGGTAGGGTGCCGCTGGGTAGATCACATGGTGGGGATGTGTACGAGATGACTGATACACAAAGGCCGGCTCCGTGACTTTATGACTGCGTGTCATCTTATCAGTGGTAATCGGTAACTTGATTTTAGATTTTCAGTAACTGAACGGCGGCGGACATGTGTTGGTGTAGGTCTTCTGATTGTGATATGTGACAATGACCCTCTCGCTGCTGGAATGACAGTTTTGATAAGCACCGCGGCAAAAACTTGTACAGGAGGGAAGTCGCGAAAAAACAACCATCATCACTTAGCGACGCGCGCACACACACACACACACACACACACACAGAGAGAGAGAGAGACACACACACACACGAGTGTGTGTGTGAATATATGTATATATGTTTTATTTGTGTGAGTGTGTATGCGTCCATGCGTGTGTGCGTGCGGGCGTGTGTGCCGTTGCTAATTCCAGTCCAGCCCGAGATGATGGACACCACAGTGTACTGTCTCCGACCAAGCCGTTTGTATTTTATACGATAAATGGCGATCGTTTAACATCTCTTGGTATGACATGGCTCGATCCTGTGTTCGGGGCAGTGTTGTCTATCCTCTATAGTGTTGTCTATCCTCTATAGTGTTGTCTATCCTCTACACCATCTCAACATTCACATGATGACGATGGAATATCATCCCATTTGATTGTAACGGACTGGGTATGGTTGACATTCATAACACAAATTATTAGAGCAAAGAGACAGGATTGAAACTGACTACAACATGAAGGTTTGCTATCTTTGTTTTGAAGGTAACACATGACATTTTAATCCCACAACAGTTCCTTTTTGAATACGACGGATCATTTCCTCGAAACTAAATAGCTGACTGAGAAACATTAAGGTTTAAAATGAGTTTTCAGTAAAACATTAGGAATCACACATTTCTGGTCTCGTTAATATAGTAGAAGCGCATAGTTCTACGAGTCAAGGGTAAAAGTAACTTGAAGTGAAAGCGTCTTGCATAATTAAGTTTATCCGTTGCCAATGTGGTTTCACGTCCTCGGAAATTGACTGTCTTCTGCTCAAGCTTTACTGGTATGTTCATTAGATGATTTGTAAATGTCACAGGTTATGAAGTAGTATGGACATTATCGTTTATAGAAAGATTCATTAAACTCATTACCGATGGCGTCGACATCAATGACGGGCGATGTACAATGAGTATTCTTGAAATGGGCGGTGTGTTTGCCATTTCAGTGCCCGTCTTCACTGTGTGTGCTTGGATGATGAAGATGGGGGTCTGTGTCAACAAGCAAGAAGGTTTAACGCTGTTTTTATAATGATGATAAACAATATGTAAAATGAATTGTATAATGCAACGTTTTGACAAGATGCACATCACCCACAAGTGGCGATACAGCTGGGTATAAACAAATGCTTTGATTGCATAGAAAATTGCAACATCATATTTTATATCTACCTATCTATCCAGCTATTTATCTATCTATCTATCTATTTATCAGGGTGTATACACACGCACATAGGCACACACAAAAAAACATTCACACATTAAAATACACGTACACACACCACCACACACATGCATACACACAAACACACACATGCACGAAGAGTTGCAATCAAACACAACATTGGGAAATGTATATTCTTGTGAACGCGCATACAATGTAAGGACAGAAGACTTGACCCTAGTTGTTAGCTAGTCTCATAAAGCGCACATCTTAATCTATCTGAATGTCACAGTTTTCAACCATGTTGTTTATTGAACAACGGTGTCCTTGGTTTAATGAGCAACGATGTTTCCCAAGCCCAATAGATGTTCATTGACTCGAATATACGCACACACACCGACATATCTTTCTGATATTTTCACCCTAGAAATGCGCCTAGCGACAGATAATAGTGCACATCGTCTTCATCGCGGAGTCGCAGCCGTCGCTGTATTGATTAGTACATCTCTCAGCGGATTGACCACCATGCCTACAACACCTATCCGCCGTCGTTATGTCGTTGATCGGACCCGTGGGGAGGGCAGCGCAGAGAAGGCGTTTCCTGATGCCTGCAGTGACATTTGTAATGGCGGCGGCTGGCATTGAGGCTTACAATCATGAGACAACGTGACTGTTTAAATGTTTCTAATCATTTAAACAGCACAAGTGTAACCTTTGCCAGAGACGTATTTACTCGGTTACACTAACAGCATTTACCATCTTTCTTGCAATAGAATCAGGATTTCAGACGTCTTTGATTGCCCGACTCAATTGGCGACATCCATTAGTGTTTAAGCGGCGAAATGTTGAAATAGCCACCAAATGTCTTCGTTATGTCCAAAGAGCAAAAAGGTTTAGCGTTGTGTAATCATTGATAAGGAAGCATTTCGAAGAAGATGAAATCAGTAAAGGTCACTAGAGTTTTCAGAAACATATTGTATACTTCCATTCCTTATACATTGCATTAGGCAGTCACACCCTATTTGTGAATACGGTGTCCAATGTCTTGAAAGGGGATCAGTTTCTGCTGAACAAATGTTAATAAATTATTTCAGACCTTCTTACTCGATATTGTTGCAAAATGAGCTCTTAATTTGCCGACTTTCAGGATAATCTAAGTGATTAACGATACCTTGAGACCCATTAGGTATTAACTTTCTGTAAAGGTCGGTTGCTGTCAATGTACCTTCAATGAGGTTTGATGACCATTTGTCCGGGCTATATTGAAATGTGTGGACATTTGGTCGCTAAATGCTTCACTGCAGTAGCAGGCGAAAACAATTGGTTGCTAAGGAATATAATCTAACATGTTCATGTTAATTATTACTATTTTCGGCAGTTGGTGTTCGTGAATGAATGAGTCCGCCATTGAGCAGCTGTGAACAGATTTCAGTAATACTGCGCGTCTGTATAGTACAGGAATGCTCAACGATACCCAGTTCGTTCACATTTATCACTTTGATGAAATCCCTAGTGGGGATTTGGGAGTTAGAGCTGGTCCCTAAACAACCTAAGGGGCGACTTATTGGATTCGGCAATCAGGCTCAGGGGTTCGGTTGATAGCGTATCGATGTACCCCGGTGGGTTGGAGCTTTGCTGATATTATCAATCACTAGATTGTCTGACACAGGCTCGATTACTTCACAAGCAGTCGTCATAGGCTGAATTATTA